CCTCTTTTCTACTGCTTATTGGTAGACACTATAGTGTTTTCTTTTCCTATAATGTCGTGTTGGTATTGCTGATACACTGGATCATGAGCCAAGGTGACTCATTTCCTTTCTTTTGGTTTTCTATTTCAACATCGATATCCCTTAGTGCCTCTACATCACCATTCCCTTGGGATTTTGGTAGTACTTGGGGTTCATTGGTTCCGTATTCCTTCCCATCCTTTTCCCTCTTTTCACCTTTGTCAGCTTGTACGGTACTTAAAGGTGCACACATAGTCTCTAGTCTCTCAACATATCTGTTCATTTGGTGTTGGAGTACTGCTTTCCTCACCAGAGAACTTTTGTCATTGTTGGATTTCCTTTCTTCTTCTGTTGTGCCATTTATTTATTCGCTCTTCTTTATCACTTGAGTCTAAGCAGCCCTATAACCTAATGGAGATGCCATAATATTCCCAACTCTCATCCATGCCTCGTATTACCCTTTCCTTTGATTTGGGTCTTTGCCTAGTTCCGCCATACAATTCCTATCTCCATGCCGAGTGATCCCACATCGATAGTAAAAATCTGGATGCCTTAACTTAGTCCAGTGACATGTCCCCACTCATTTTAATAACAGTGCCTCGTAGGAAAGGTTTCAAAATGTCAATTTGAGCCAAAATTTTCATGTGTCTACCCTTCTTTCCCCTTCTTGAAGGAATTAGACTTCTTTGACTGCTTTAAAAACCTGCCCTAACCTAAATCCTGTAGTTTACTCATCCAATGTACTGGGAGATGCCAAACTTGTATCCACATAAAGGAAACATTGAAGAAACTGGGGTCATTTTCTACGTATGGATTCCACCTCCTAAGGACCAATAACTAATTATCTAGGACCCATGGCCTTTCCTACAGGGCTTTATTTCTATCTTCTTTGGATTCAAAGTGGAATTGAAAAAGATTAGCCTTCACTTCAGTCACTTTGAAACTCCTTGAGTATCCCTAAACATGGCTAGTAAAGTTCTTCATACCCATGAAGTTTACTATCTTCTTCCCTACAACTTTCCCTACTAAACTAAGCCTGCGCTCTTCCACACTTGGTTCAATATCAGTTGGGTTTAGATCCATACCTTCTATTTGCTCCAATGACAAGTTGAATTTTTGGAATGCTGCTACTAGTTTGTCCACCATTGTCTATGTATCAGCTGGTGTCCCCTGTTAATCCAAGTCATGATTCGACCTACTAAGTAAACCTGGTGATAACAAAGCCAAAAGCAGAAAAGTTAGTTGAAATTCAACAGACAAAGGATGTGAACGACATAAGCTAGATAAAGAGGAGAGGTGGTTTTGTGAGGAAAGGCATAGGAGCTGCCCTCAATCATTAACCTATGGAACTAATGGTTTTTGTCTATTCATGCCTTCAATTCTAGTAATAAAGGAGATTGAGAAGGTGATTGGGTAGAAATATTGGGTAATTTTGGGAAGAATCAATAATCTAGGGTTCTTCTTGCGAAGCATCTTCAAAATGGTACAACGGTTTGTACCATTTCATTGGTATTAGATTGACACCCAAGTATTCAGTCCAATGTCAATTCGATTCGTACACAATTATAGCAGCTGAGAAGGTTGAACTTGTGGGGCCAAGTTCGCATAAAGAAATCAAAAAGTGCATAAAATTAAATTGAATAAAGAGCAAAATAACTGGTTACCGGATAACCAGGTCTACAGAGATAGAAGTCGCGTGAATGGTGTATTAAAATTGCCTCTGTTGATTCAAATTATCTAAATTTAAATTATCTAAACTATCTACGCTTGTCTAAATTTAGATAATTAAAATAATCTAAATTTATTCAATTTTAGATATAATAAATTTATTTAACTTTTCTATTTTAATTTAAGTTATATATTTAAATTTATATATTGTTAATTCAGTTCATTGTTCACTTTCAATTGCAAATGAATTATACTTTGTTTTATGCTTCATGCATCATGAAAAGAAGATTAATTTTTCTTTGGTCAATTTTCTTAGTCCTTCTATAACATATACTACATACATGCCTCAGCATCTCATTCTCATTTATGAAAAACAATTAAATCATACTTTATGATTCATGAATCATGAAACAGGTTCTTTCTTTCTATTTCACACAACTACAAAATGAATCCTAAAATAATATTTGTTTCTCTTTGTAATTATTCTTACCAATTATTCTTAATACTTTCACAATTCTTACAATTTATAATTCATAAATTTGAAAACAAGATTAATTTCAATTATTCTTAGCCCTTTTTTATTGTATACTCAAGCAATTAGATCATGAATCATGAAAAGAGTTCATACTTCATGATTCATGAATCATGAAAAGAGTTCTTTCTCTCTACTTCACAAAACTACAAATTGAATCCATGAATGTGTAATTATTCTTACCAATTATTGTTAACACTTTCGCAATTCCTGCACAATATTTGATTTTCTTTGCAATTATTCTTGGTCCTTTTGTTTGCAACCATACCTGATACTATAGGATGAAGTCACGTGATAAGCAGCAATACATTAGAAAAGGAAAAGTTAGCTCTTATACATGATCATTTCCTTACAATATCTTGTTCGATTAATTTTATCATATATTTGCAATGCTTTTTGAATCATAAAAGAAATGTAAATTATCTATTCATTTCTAATTTTCCAAGATGCAAAGTTATCCTCTTGTATTCGTCCCTACTAAAAATTGTTCTTAACTGTGTCATGATAGTTTAACCAATACCAGTTTTTAAATTTAAGCATGTATACATCAGTACTATATTTGTGCAGCATTATTGGGTATGATACTTTCTTCTTCTTCTTTTTATGAAGTCATAGCTAGCAATAATTATAGCTACATGGTTAATTAGCCTTGAAGTTATTGAATGAATGTACTAATTTCTCAATTTAATGAAAGCTATGTAGTTTCCTTAATACAAATTACAGTAAAACCTCTATAAATTAACAATTTCGGAGTTATACAAATTCTATTAATTTAAAATTAATTGATAATTTAATAATTTATTAATTTATTGAGTGTGCTTACAATTCAAATAAACACTCATTTAATCGACTAAAGTTTTAATTTATTTTTATAAAAATATGAATTATTCTAGTAATAAAAAGATGTTCAAAGTCTAAATATGTAAATTACCTATTGATTATCCAGATGATGAAAATGAAACAAGTTTAGAGGTCTCCAGTTTAAAAGATATTATTGCTGACATTACTCAAAATCATGCTAATGATGAAAGTTAGAGATGATACAGTAACTATGGAGCCTATTACAAAAAAAGAAGCACTTAAAGCATTATTAACTCTTCATAATTTATTGCAATATAAGAATTCATGTCCAAAACATTTAGATACAATAAGGAAAATTAGGAATGAGGTTTGGATAGATTTAAATTTCAGGATAAAACAAACAGCAATAGACTTATGTTTCAGAAAAATGAGATGTAATTTTAGTGCATTATTAATTTATGATATGAATGGGATCAAAGGGTTATATAAGGTTTTCAATAAAATTATTAATTTAGTTGATTAGTTCAAGTCGGGATCGAAAAATTATTATTTATTAAATGTTATTAATTTATAAATGCTTCACTATATATGTAAAACCTAATAATTATTTATAAATGGATTTTGCTAATAACACTTGTTAAACACTTCAATCACACTCAACTTGCTATGTGAATGTATGTTAACCATTATTATGCTCTTTCGCATTTAAGTACTTTTTCTAATAAATTTTACTTTTCATGAAATTTAATACTTGAATTACATCTTATTTGGGCACTCCTCATTAGATTGACCCTTTATAAAGTTCACCTTTCCTTTCTTTAGACTCATACCGGGTTAGACCCAATTTTTAAAGATTTAATAGTCCAAATTGTGCCATATTATCTCATCAAATGGTGTGACACAATGTGGGTTATTGAATTTTTAAAGATCGGATCTATCTAAATTTTGGCCATTTTCTTAATAGCCAAAACATTTTATTTTATTTGGCCTTCCATTATTTTGTAATATTAATTTTTAATGGTTAATGCATATACACATATTTTTTATGCTTTTCTTATAATAAAAAAATAATTTCATGCTTTCTTTTTTGTAACTCATTAACAACGTAGGTTAACGAGTATTGTATTAGATAAGACTATTTTTACAAGTGGGCCTAGATTATTCAATAGCATTGTATAAGACAAGGCAACTTTTATAAGCAGACCCTGTTTGTTTGTTTACTTGTACCAATTTCTTTCTTCAACTGGGATTCATCTCTCCTCAAAAACGACCTATAATTGAGTGTTTGTTGTGCTGTCTTCCTCCTAACCATTAATTTTGCCTTTATACCAAAATGGTACAAAACATATCATTTTGTAGAATTTTTGGTTATTCTCGTGGGTTTTGGATTTGATTAGAGCAGGCGGGTGTTTGGGATGACGTTTGAAATTTGAAACCTCTTACACAGGAGATGCGCCCATCAATTTAGAGAGACGGTCTCGTAATTGGGAGAGTGAAGTAATCTGATTAAGCTAAAAATTGGTTTCTACTTTTGTAAGCTGTGTGATACAAACTTCGTTCTTGTCATGTTGAAGGGAAAAAAAAAAATGAAAAAGTTGTACCATAATTCAGAAACAAAAAAAGCTTTTAAATTCGAAAATCATGCTCGGCCGAACAAAGATTCCTTGATTATCTATCATATAAGCAATTTTTCTATGCATTACCGACGAAAGATTATATCCACTTCAAATGTGATGCCAAAATAGTTGACGGAACCATGCAATTCTGGATTTCTGCTACCAGTAAATTTTCAAGATCAGCCAACAACAATTTAGTATTGCTTCTTCTCAGTAGTATATATGCTTTTATCTAAATTAAATTGCAATCGAAACCATATGATTCACACTTTGTCTAAAGAAATTAGTCTTGATTAAAGGGAACATAATACAACAACTCGAGCAGTTTCAAACACAGATAATACGGGTGGCAACAGTTCAAACACTGACGAGAAACCTGGGGAAATTAATACGGTAGTGGACCTTGAAGCAAATGCAAAAATTCCTAATCCTAGGGAGCCCTAATTGATAATCCTTCATCTAAGAATGCAACAATAGATTTCCAACAAAATAAAGGAAGCAGAGCTGAAGCAAGGTACTATCTGCAACAATGACCCAACTTCAAAATCTGCACGAGTGCACCAATGTTCTCTCTAGGTTGAAATCATCACAACATACGTTAAAAATGCATCCCCATGAAACGCTAAATTTTCCTTTTGCATACTGTCAGAGGTATATATATATATACAAATGGTTGACAATTGAATGGGACACCTATACATGTTGGCAAGACAGGCTAAGAAACTAAACAAGATCTGTGCAACATTTACAAGGCAGCTGGTCCCAGTATTTGCTCTAACTGAAAGGCTGGTCCGGCATCCTCTATTGTTTTACCATATTGAGCTTTCAGGAGAGTCAAAGAGAAAAACCTTTGGCTGAATAATACAAACTTGAATTACATCTCTAAAGAGCTTAAGCAACATCAGCATCAGAATCCAACTGCTCACGGCTTCCAAGAACACCTTGTTCCCAAACCTCACGAGATCTGCACAGATTGTATGTATTATGAATAAATCAATGAAATCTAGAAAAGCCATATCTTGAAGTATGATTCCAATTATTTTGAAGCACAATAGTTCAAAATCTATGAATTTCAACAACCGGTGAATCTAAACTCAATAGATTATTGTGTCATTCACTATTGAAATTTTCTTTTTCCTCATCAAAAGAAGTTCACTAAGATTGGAAACAGTGAAAATAAAAAAGCATTCTTTGCTCAAAGGCAAATTGGCATTCATTAACATAATAACAGAAGTCATATGGACGAGGAAGGGAATTTTTGAAGGTATCATAAACATCATTGTAAGCTAATGAAGAGTCTAGCTTGATACAAATGTGTATTTATCGCATGACAAATGCGGAGGAATAGATAAGGAAAGAGAAGTCACAAACTCAAGTTATGCTAGGAGAGTTCAATTGAAGGTTCTCAAAGTGTTTATTCCTTTAGGCATTCCTCTGTACTTTAAGACCCAAAAAATGCATTCTCCGATAAGATTTTAGCTGTCATAGATTGAAAGAAGAATCCTTTAACGTTTTACGATACAAATCTCTAGATGCTTCACGTGAAAGATATGGGTTTCCACAAGAAACAATTGATGACTGCACACCTGATGAAGAAAATATCAACAATTGTATCTCTAACTCTAAAAATTGATCATGAAGAGTTGCTGTCATCCACAGTCATAATCCCTAAACCACATATATAGCAGGAAGCTAGAAGCAATTATAGTTTATCCATCTAGTTGGGTCTCATTTGAATACTTATTTTCTTGATGTCTTTTTTTAGGTTGGGGTCATGAAAGACATGTAAGTTAATATGGCATCTCTATTTCATTCTATAAAACTCACTTGCAAATGTAGCATTGAATCTGCTAATCTGTGATTGCAATGTTAACATGTTACAGACCCGAGTGCTCACTTTTCAATGTGATTTACATATAATAGATATTATTTAGAACATTTTACAAGGTATCCCTTAGAAAAGCAGGCAGTGAAATTCTTGCAACCACACCACATAGATTTGAACCAAAAGGTGCATATTCTTCAGGTAATTCAAGATAAAAATCACCACCATGTGTATGCTAAGATCTTAGTATCATTGCAGAGATTTTCAGAACAACATTCCCACTTTCTGTATTAACCACATAAAGTTTTCATTGCTCTTGAATATTTTAGAAATATTGAAAGACGCATGGAGTACAACCAAAGCATGTAACAGACAACATAGAGTGCACTACAGCAGTTTGAATAAAACAGACCTTGTTCCATCTATGCCAATACAAAGAAAGTGGCCATGTCGCCATCCGTCTTTGAAGTGACCAAAGAACACATCACCGAGCTTTGAGTAGAATCGCCCTTCCCCATTTGCCTTACCCTTCCAGAAATTTACAAACCATCGGTCCCCGGTGTGGAAATAGAACCAACCCTACAGTAATACAATGATCTCAAGGTCAAAGTGACAGAAGTAGTTGTCTTCGTTAAAACATAGGAAAAAAAGTCAAAGTGCTTTTTCCAAAAGCTTCAGTGTGATAATAGACACATGCTCATGCATGTGCTCTAATAATAGAGCTCGAGAATATTATTCTTCTCTCAGGACAACACAATACTTGGACAATTTACAAGAATACACTCAAGAAAAAACCAGAACAGAAGATGAAACAATATCCCAGCAAGCAATACAAAGACTTAGGCTAGCTCTATGACATTAAATGACAAGTAAAAATTCAATGAAGGACAGAATAGTAACGCTCATACCTTTCCATGCATGACATCATCCCTCCATGATCCTTGGTAAATGTCACCATTTTTGAAGTAGAATGTACCTGGACCAGATCTCTTACCATAACGCCACATGCCTTCATATATGCTTCCATCTCCAAGAGAAAGACGGCCCTGAAAATTTACATTTGCAATTCTGTCATTTTAATAGAACGAGTATCTCTGAAAGGAGATTTTCTAGCCCTTCAAAGAATTGTCGAGTACCTTTCCTTCTGGAAGTCCTCCTTGGATGCGGCCATGGTATATTCCTCCTCTATATTTCATTTGCAGTACAGGATTCCACTTCTTGTTTGGTAAATCTCGTTCTGCTTCCTATTCAAAGCCAGACAGTAAGAAAAGTGAAAAATGAGATAGAAGCTCGACAGTCACTAAGATTCTATCCCCTCCACCACTCGAAGGACCTACTTAAAAAAGATTACTTTCAGTCCAAAAGAACTAGGGAAGAAAAAGAAAAACTAAAAAGGTAATTTGCCAACCAAGGAACTATCCTGCAGTACCAGCTTTATTAGTATATTGCATCATCCCAAATTGAATAAGATGCATTAACCCAAAGGTAATTTGCCAACTCCGCTAATAAACCATGCACTTTGCTGGATGGTCTGTTGTACACTAGTACAAAAATGGTGATCCATCCACTTGAATAAAAACATGGAGAATAGATGGTTGAGTAGAAATAAGCTCATTCCCTGTTGAACTGACAGAAAACAAGGAGACTGACCAGTTTTAAGAGAAGAAACTTGAATTTGAAAGGCACAGACAGAACTAGAGGGAATGGGGGGCAGGAAGGGACACTGCCCCAAATTCTCGAAATTAATGTTTCCCCCCTCCATGAAATATTTTAAGATATTCTTTTGTAAATTGAAACGTTTGCTGCCTCAAAAAAGTTTACAAAAATTTTGTACCGGCATCAAAGTTTATGTGTGTGAAATTCGCCCCCTCAAAGTAACCGTTCTGGTTCTCTCCATGTTGGCAAGATTCTAACCTATAAAAATAGGATTTAGCCAAAGGGTTATTTTTCCTTTTCTTTTAAGGAACTGTAGTAGTTACACTTGTGGGTTTTATTCCCAGGCTGTTCAAGTGAAATTTTCAGACTCCAGGTTAACCTTTAGGCATTTAGTTCTACTTAGAGTAGGAGAACCTTGGTAAGGAACATGCTAAGGATAAAAGTAGAAAACTTTTGGAGTTTCCAGGAAAGGCTAGGACCAGCAGCAGGAAGAGAGAAGAACCTCTCACAACAGACCTCCCCTCATCATCAGTTCATTTGGGCAGCTTATATGTTAAGTAATACTTCTACAAGTTAACTCCTGTCTTATCTTCTCCTTCTTCCTCTTTCACTCTGATTTCAGCATTATTCTCTACTTCTAAAGTCTGTTTCTCCATAAATCTGCTCCAGCATAATGGTCACCGAAACTCTTCTACTAGACCAATCTTTCAATCTTGAATCATTGGTTTAGGCACAACATTTCCTCGTCTCGCTAACATTGTCACACTTGCTATTTTTAGATGTTTAACAATGTCAATCTCCCAAATTGTCAAGCTATATCAACTTACTTTCTGAACTTACCCCAAATAAACAAATCAAAATTTCAAATTCTGCCTCAAAAGACATCCTATAGAAGCCATTTTGCTATTATAGAAGCCATTTTAGTATTTAACACTAAAGGTCAAAGACATGCAAAAGGCCCCAAAAGACGGCCAGGATTGAGGATTCTTCCAGCAAATTCTGCATTGCTCCTGCCTATGCCTGAAGGTTATTTCTGTCCTCTTGAATCTCACTGTTGCATCTAAAGTCATCTTATTCAACCCAAAAAGCAGAAGTTTTGATTCCATTTTACGTTAATTTATTTTTGGAGGGGTGGGGGGGGGGTGAGGGGAGGGGTAAAGTAGCAGATTCTTTGTTTTATTCAGTTTGTAATTGAGTACAAAAAGGAAAATCCCAAAAACAACTGTGTCAATTAAACAAGAAAAACACACAAAGAAGAGAACTTATACTGCAGTAATCCAATGTTGTTTGACCAAAAACCCAACCCACATTATGGTCCCATCTCTCTATAATTCCAGACATCCCTCCATCTTACTAAGATGGACCTTACATCAGGATGATTCATATCACATTTGATTGCAGTATATCAGAAGAAAAATCTTCTCGATGTGAAAGTAAGGAACTTTCAAAATTCTCAAGTAGCTGATTTAGCTGTTATAGGCAGAGAACTAAAATGCATGTGTAGAATATACAAAAGTCCAGCATTACATGGACAAAACATAAGACTTTTGAAGGGTAAGCACTCTAAACACATATATTCACTGCATTGAAGCTGGATTGTATCTTCACAAACACAAGTCTTTGCACATAACCTTTGACACAATATTCACTTGACATCCATTTTACCGTATTCATTATGCAGAATGCTGCATATCATATTTTATACATCTTTAAATTCAGTGTCTCATGAAGAAAAGCAACGTTATGTATTTGATGCATAAAGCTAAGAGGAAATTTGGGTAGCAGCCCTAAAACACAAGGAATTAATGAAGGGAAATCACAAATTGAAGGAGAAAAGCTTCTAGGCTTGTATGAAGCCCGAGAAAGCTGATAAAACTTTAGGAAATATTCGATATCAAAAACTGCTCGCTGCAGTACATAAGATGTCTACATATAGGGCCCCAAAGACATGGTTGTCCTGAAGTGGCAAAAATGACCAAAATATTCTTAGTGGGCCACATGCCTAGCACATGTACACCAGCTACACAACACATTTTTAACTGAAGACAAACTAAACAATAAAAAAAAACACTAAGATTTGATTTGATTCTGCCGCAGTTGTTAGTCAAGAACAAAAAACTATCGTTTCTTTCAACAGAAACTTCTAATTAATGCCTTGTGATGCTCCTTTCATGCTTCATCTAGACAATAAAGATTTTCCTACTGTACGAGTCAATTGGCAGAAACCACATGCACGAATGTAGAGAACATTTTACTTGAATGAATAGAAATGGAAAAAAAAAACTTGTTTTGTACTTAATAATACTTGAACTAGGTAGATTAACATTTTGGCTGGGTAATTCTTTGAAGTGCACTTGGTTAAAAAGAAGTCTTATAGTCAAAGGGGAAAGAACATAAACCAGTGGGGTAGATCTTATTCATAGAAAGGTATTGCCAATAATCACTCATAAAACTGGAAGCCAGTAATGCAGTATGTACAAGTTCTTGTTTTTCCTAACAAAAACCAACAATCTTGTTTTTCCTAACAAGGAAAGAAAATGCAAATTAACCAAGTAGCATTTTTCCCAGTCATACAAGTTGAAGATAAAATAACTCCACATTAATCTTAGGAGCACAAAAACACAAATAAGACTTTCTATGACTATGGCTTCTTATAAAGTATGTTAAACTGCTATAAGTCTTTGGATTTTACCAGCATTGATGCTGCCCGATTGGAAAGAACTCCTGGCTTATTGGAATCATTGGTCGAATTTCCTTTTCTAGTTTTTGAGAAATTATTGAAGTTTATTGTAGCTTCGAAGCCCCTGTCACCCATCGCATCCCGAGACACACTTGTAGCAGTATCAACCTGAGCTTTCCTGCTGTCCTCCCTTGTCCATCTTTTCAGATGCTTAGTGTGTGCTGGATATTCTTCTGCCTGTTCCAAATGTTTAACACCAACAGGAAGTCTGAAGACGCTGACACTATCAACTGTTAGAGTGGTTTCTGTATCTCCAGCCAACTCTTGGGTCCACTCTTGTGTCTTCTGATCATCTGCCCCCAGGCGGTATCTAATAAGCAGCTCCTCCCTAAAAGTAGGCGCTCCTGTGTAAGTGCATCAACACCACTATTACTTCAACTCTAGTAAAGATTGGATGCTCATATATGCTTGTTGTAACCACACTGGTTATTTCAATGATTTATACAGAGTGAGATTACAGAACATAATGAAAAGCACGTCGTGATGTAAGACAATGAGAAGCAAATAACCTACCTTCAGCATCTGGCATGTTTGCAAGAGAAAATGAGTCAGAATCAGCAAATTCAACACCAACTTGTTCATGAGAGAGATTGTAGTTCCTGGAAAGAAAACTTGGAACATTTGTATAAATGTCAGTGACATAATGCAAGCATATAAATGTGATCAAAGCAAGGATGAGGAAGTGAAAATACCTTAAAGAAGATGAATCTCTATCACTACTATTAAACGATGGTTCAACTTCTCTTCTGTAGCCACATGAAGCATCAGAAGTATCATCAAGGGAACCTTTATCTAGCATATAATCATGTTCTTGAGAAAATGTCACTCCAGAAAAATGCTGAGGCTCGGATAAATAGACTTCAGTGGTTCTCTGAGGTTCTGGTGATTGGTTCTTCAAGATATTGAAGATGAAAGGAAACTGTTGGGCCAGTCTTGATAAAAATCCCATCTTCTTAGTGGATTGATGTCCAGTACAACTGTAACAAGAAGATACTCAGCTTGAAAACACCAATAACATAGATGACATAAGACTTCTAATTGGAAGAGGTATGAATAGTATTCGGTGCCAAGACTTCTTGTTATCAAACAATAATGTCATGTCCATTCCAACTGTACAACAGTATTTGACCATCACAAATTTTGAAGAGGAAATGAGGCATTATTTCAAATAAGGAATGAAAGAACAATGAAAATACCCACAGCAAACAATAAATAATATTTTAAAAAATTTGGCAAGATTTGGTCATAAAAGCACATCAGTGGTATGCAAAGAAGTATAAAATCCACAATTAGTCACTTCAACCTTAAAATGTTCAAAAACTTCACCACAGTACAAGTAAGTTCATTTAGAGGTGTAAGCATTCAATCATATGAATGTTTATGTCAAAGATGTGAGCAGATGATTTAAGAATAGCCCCCAATGCTATTTCATTGGAACAGCAATCCTACTCAAGACTACATTATGACTCGTTGATTGGCTTCTTATGTGGAAAGCAGGATTTCCCAAAAACCCAAAGGCTGATTTGCCTAGTGGGGGAAATATGAGAAGACTAGAAGAAAAAAATATATTTAGAAGAACCTCTGTATGCTTGACACCATATAACTACTTCGGAAAAGGACACTAGTAACGACTTTAATAACTGAAAGAGAAAAATACTCTAAAATCTGGTCCTTCCAAAGCATAGAATCTCAAAACATCTCTTTACAATTATGCTTGACATAGAAAATTGGCTTGAACAACGCTTAACAACAGGATGTGCAACATGAGGAGCGGAGAAAGGGGAACGAGAGTGATGCATCAAACTGAGTTCCTGGACCAGTGACAACTTCAGTTAAAAGAGAAAGTAGATTAAATGAATAGATCCATAATTAGAATGCAAAGAGTTCACCATTGCACTAAGGCAAAAAAATGCTTACCCAAATGCTATTATTGTAGTTCTAATTAAATTGGACTCAAGTTTGGAGTCATGGACTATAGACATTATAATTTCCCCCTTGCACTCTGTAGTTAGACGAACACTTTGGAAAATGGCACCAGCATCATTGTTACTGATGACACCTGAGCTTGCAAGAATGCAGATGATTGTACCACTGGAATCCTGAGCATTAATATACTATGTAAGTACAAAAAGAAGATGTAAAGCATTGTCTTAAAAAAGCTTAAGAATCAAACTTCAAACATGCAATGTCATCAAGTAAATTGCAGAGGGAAAAGATTTCTAGTAACCCAAGCAAAGGTTAACAAGGTGAACCAGGCTTTAAATGCAAAAAAAAAAAAGCATAGCAACAGGCTCAGAAACAAGATGAAACTATCAGACTAGCCTCATCAAACAGGATAATCTTAAACTTAATCAGCATTAACCTATCTAGCCACTTTTAGCATCTTCATCTTTCCTCGGCTCTTGGGTGCTGACACGTACCAAAGATTGTCCTTTTCCACTAGAATCTGAATGGTTATCAGGTGTGTGGGACTTTGGAAGCCAAGTTCTGATCAATTTACACGTACTTTCTCATCTTTCCCACTTCATGGTGGAAATGGCTCAGAACAAACATTTAAAATAGTCCTATATCTACACAACCAAAGATTACCATCTTGAAACATGTTATTTGATCTACCAATGCCTTTAGCTGCTCATATGAGACAACAAAATTAAGGAAAATTTGAAACTGTCTAAAAAATTGATCTTGCATTTGAATCTACTTTGCTCTTAGCCTGGTATTCCCAAGTGATATTTGGAGAGTATTTGCCTGTTTTAATATACCCTCAGAATAGAGGGAAAGAAAATTTTCCTTAACCAAAGAGAGGCATAACTTGAGTCATCATCATATTTCTAAATGATTCATAAATGAATAATAATTTAACTTGTATCAAACGAAATGTGTAATTTAATACTAATCCTTCCACCAATTAATACACTGATTAACTTGTCATCTCATTTATTTAGCCCCTGCACCAGGAACATGTCTAAGCCATGTCTAACAGCCATGCCACTGAACTCCAGAAAAGTGCTAAATAATGCACAAAAAAGCAATTCAGATTGCAGAATATGTAGTCTGCTCTAACCTTTACGCCTACACCAAGGAAGGGGCAGTCAAAAACAGCCTTGAGAACTGAAGTCTTGATATTAAAACCATTTCCAAATCCAATTTTCGCTTCACGGCAGGCCTCAAAAATCTGCAAAATGTCTCATTAGCTTTTTGGGCAACAACTAAAACTTGATTAGAAGTGCAAAATGAAAATCTCCATGAAATAAGACTATATTCTAGCTTCTCTTTTGCTCATTAAGGTCTTGAAAGCATCTGGCTTGCAGAGCAAGGATAAAAAGTGGGATTGCCAGGGCAAAGTAGCATGTGTATGAAAAGGAAACATAAACATAAATCACACAGCTTACTAGCCTAGGCAGGGTAAGGGCAATGAACTACGCTGATCAAAGCAGATATTCAGGTAACTCACCCTTTGAAGTTCTTGAACTTTAACTTCTTTAGCATCATTATGTGCCACCTCTAGAAGCTTTAGATTCTTTTCCTGTCAAATGATGCAAAATAAGTAGAACCAAATTGATCAGTAAATAACGAAACAACCAAAAGTCCTGCACAGTGCAGAAGTTTTGAAGATAAGAGAAGTCAGTAGTTTTTCTCACAGCTATGAGAATGGTTATGGCATTTATGGCCATTAAAACCGCGTCGTTCGAAGTCTTTAAAGCTTCATCCAAAGTCACCAAATCCTTTTCTAGAAGTGCATCAGTGTCAATCACTGCATGTCAAGACAAACAACCTAATAGCCCTCGAGAAATTTAGCAGGTGATTAGCAGCAAAGAAAACTGGAAATTTCAGTTTACAACAAGTCAAAATCAGAACCTTCAATAAAATCAGAACCTTCAATAAAAACCTTCAGTTCCATGGCCAATATGATACATAGTCAGTAGAGAGCAACAGCAAAACAATTTCTCCAGAAGACAATATTTAGGTGTTCAAAGAAACTTTTCAGCAAAGCAAACATATAGTTTGGGTAATGTGAAATTAGTTATATTTAATGGTGACAACCATTATGATCAACAGGCATAAAGAAAGAGTCTATACAACTTTTATGGTTTAAAACCCAGAATGCCACCAACAGTCAGTGAATGACACAAAGGTCACAGCTTACCAATGTAAAAGTTTGCATGCTCTTGAAGTTTGCCCACCAAATGATTCACCTGAGATGCATTTTAGAAAATAAAAAAATATGCCCTATTCAATAGAATGGAAGCTGGTAACAGAAAGAGCAAAATTGAATTAGATACAAATAATATGTTACAGTGTCTTAACTAAATTATGTTACAGTGTCTCTGACCAACAGAAGAATGAAAAGAAAGTAAAGCAAACTTTTGCTTCAGCCATTCTTAGTTAGCATTCTATTTACAAACTTTGAAAGCTTCAATATCCCATTATATGGATCACTAGTAATTATACCAATAAAATTATACCTCCGCTTGGCGTCTCTGTCCTTCAAAGCTGAAAGGTCTCAAAATAATGCCAACAACTAAACCATTCTCAGACTTTGTTGTCTATCAGGTTTTGTGCAACTTCATTGCTCGAACAGTACACCTTCCTTGCTACCTCAAAAATATCTTCATGACGACAAGATTTCTTTCATTTTATACGTAATATATTAGATATTAAAGTGGTTAAAAGTCAAAATGGAGTAGTGAAAGAAGAGAAGCATATCTAAAATTACTAGAATTTTTAACCAAAGCATGAAAGTGATGACCAACAGCTGCGAAAACTCCTCAATTGACCATTGTCTTCATGGTCAAAAGCCAAAATCAAGGAAAAGTGAGTCAGAAAACCATCATATATGACTCTGATTGAGCAATTACTAGTCAAATAGTTCAGATAAGTATGCAAGTTCATTAACAAGAGGTAAAAGTTCAGAGAAACCATTTTATCCTCTTAGAATCACAATTTTAAAAAGATGACTTTAGCAATAATAACTTGAAATTCGCAGAAGAAGCATGTAAAATAAACAAAAGTAGACTACTAGTTGTTCTAAACGTTGATAGGCTATTTGTAGGAAATGCAGGCCAATAGTTATTGAGTTTCCAGTCATATAGATGGTGTTGAAGAAGCTTCAAAATTTGACCTCTGTTTGTTAAGCAAGAGACCACAAAAATCAGCTTGGAAAGTTCTGAAGAGAGGAGTGTCATCAGAATTGCTGATCTAAAAACATATAGAAAAAGTTTCACAAATTTTCTGCATATGCTATGGAATATAGAATGCAAATACATTTTCCACAGGCAAAGGTGCAGAGAACTCATTTCATCCTAATGCAAATTGTGAGTTTAAAGCTAGGGCTAATCTTAGAAATAATCTTTCACACTGTTACTTGATTAGTTGATTTGTTTCACTTCTCTTTTATGCAGAACTTGCTTTGGTAACCCAAGAAAATCTTTTGCCTTTGGTTATTCACTACAGAAACAAGATATTAAGTCAAGCTTCCATTGAAGACATGTAACCAACGCCTATTTATGGTAATGTTTATGGACTACCAATAACTTTCAATCATGATACAGAAACCTAAAAAAGACGCCAGACAAAATTGAAAAGGACAACATCATGCTATTCTTCATTTTTGGTCAAGTGACTACCAACATAAGATTTACTCAACATCATATAGACCCAATAATTTTGGAATAACTATGAATCTTGAAGTAAGAGCATCATTCTAGACATACGATTTTTAACTGCAAATGGAGAACAGGCACTCTCATAAAATCATGTTCTATGTAATGGAGCTAAGATACAACTTCAAGAAGGGTGGGAAGTAGCTTGCAGAGGCCAACTAACAGACAATAAGCAGTCATAAGACAGACTGACAATTTTCTGCAACTAAATTGCAGCTAATTTGAGAGGCAAGCAGTATGAGACAGAATAGCAAATGAGGTCCATAATTGATGAATTACTACCTCATGTCATGACCAACAGGTTGAAGGCATCGCATTCACAATGTAGATCTCCAGCTTTGGCCATCTCAGTCACTTAGAAGCGAAAGAGAGTGCCATTCTATATGTTTGTCATCAGTTTGAAAATGATGTGCTTGAAGAAGGAATAATGGGATATTGATAGGCACGACAGTAATTGAGCCATTAAGGTCTCCCATGAGCTCTGAGCATAGCACCACTGCAAAACAGAATACTCAAAACTCAAGACAGTGTATAGAAAATGATAAAGCTAACTAGAAAATTCGGGTAATTGCAGGACATTTCTTTTCAACAAATCCTACAGAAAGTTAGAGAGAGAGAGAGAGATTTTGTCATTGATATCAAACCTAAATTAGTAAGCAGATACAAAATCTTTCTGGTCAGTCTACAAGAACCAAGTATTGTCATGAAAATTGTTCCAATTTGTGCCCAAAATTCCAAAAAATGACCGGTTGAGTAATTTGAAAAAAAAATTGTTGCAACCAAAAACATGACAAGCAGAGACAGCTGAAGAATCTTCATGAAGCGAATTCCTAGAGAGTAGCAACCAATTACTACCTCGAGAATCTTCATGAAGGCAAATCTTCATCAAAAAGTCCTGGTGATGATAGCTGTTCAAAAACATCCAATAAGCTGGGGCAAGGAATTTTTTCGAGCAGCTCGTACTGGCCAGCTGACAGTCTTGAGCAATCAAAAACATAGACTGAAAACTTTCTGCAATTAGGTAACAACTAGTTTCAAGCACAAGAAGTCAGGAATTCTTATTGCTAGACCTCGTGACTGAAATGGCAGATTGACAGTGTGCAAGCTTCGACAATAAGGATATTTGGCTATTTGAGGCAGCAATATGAAAGAAAAGAGGGCCATCATAAACATTTCTGTCCAAGATACTGGGTTTGCAATTGAATGAGCAATTACTGCTAGTTGTTCTAAACGTTGATAGGTCATTTGTAGGAAATGCAGGCCAAAAGTTATGGTGTGAAGAAGCTTCAAAATTCTAACCTCTGTTCGTGAAGCTATTCTTCTATCAATCCTACAAAAACAAAGCATAGAACAGTAAAACATCAAAGCACGAAACAGAACAGGTGCTTGGGGTCATTCTAATTGATAGTTACAAGAGTATTACTATTATGTTGTAAGGAGTAAATGAAGAGCACCAATATTTTGGACCTAATAAGAAATGCTAATGCCGCAGCTTTGAAACATAATAAATAGGACGATAAAAAGGGAGAAGAGAAAATTGTGAAGAATAACCACGGAGACTTTTTAGTTTCTTTTTTTTCACGAGAAGGTTAATCAGAGGGTAAGGTGAAGAGAAGGCAAATCTCAAAACCACTGGGAGGCGAATTAGAAAAGTAGGTAAGAGGCAATCTTACATGATTGAATTTGATTTGAAGATGACGGTTAATCAAAATATGCCTAGGTATTGAATGTGAGAAACTTTGGACCACTGGGAGTCGGGGCCGCTGCTCTCAGGAGTGCATCTTTCTTTTAACAGAGGAGAACCTTCAACCTCCAGATGTTTTAGTTTGGTGAGACTTCTCATGGCATCCTCAGAGGGTAGATGTCGAAGCTCTTTGAAAAAGTATAAATATAGTTTTTCAAGAGCAGCGAAGTTTCCGAACCAATCTGGCAGAGCTTTTATACCTCCGAAGTTAAATAGCCATAGTGACGTCAGAGTGGTCAAGTATTGGATCTGATGTGGCAGGGACTCCATGTGTGGCAACCCACGTAAGCATAATACACGGAGTGCGCATGACGAAGAGGAGGAGGAGATATCAATCTAGACCAATCAAACTCATTGTAAATTGAAGAATTTTCATGATCATCACATCATCTGAGAAGGGACCAATTGCAAGCCTGTTTAAGCTGGTTAGAAAACCAAATCCTTTGGGCGTCATGCTTGTTTTCAGTTTGGGACACTCGTATAATTCCAGCTTCAAGAGAGAAGGTGTTTGTTGCAAATCAAGCGGAAAGGAGATAAGATTGTCGCACCAACGCACCCGAAGCTTCTGGAGGGAGGCACAAGAGTGTAGCATCTCACCGGGCAGATTCGTCAACCATCGCAACCCCAAATCTGCAGCTTTTTAAGAGGCGTAAAGTTTTGCAGGGGAAGGAGTTCTCTGCATCTGTGGCAGTGATAAAACTCCAAACTCGCTAACTTGGGGAGTCTTGTTGTTGTTGGCAAATCCATTAACCATCGAGGAAATTGATCGCCATAAAACCCCAAATTACCAACTCCTCCAAATTTGGGTGGGGTTGAAGGCCATCTAACACATCTTCATCATAGTTGTAGTTGTCGCATTCTCGATCACGGGCCCACTCAAGTCGCAGCCCAAATAGATTTGCCTTTTCAGATAGTTTTGCTTCCTCAGCTTCTTCCTTATCCTTTACTAGTTCCAGATTGCGTATCTCCAAATTGCCTTTGAGGTACTTCAAGCTTCCAAGCTCTCCAATTCGTCGACCCTTCTCTTGACCCATTTTAAAGAACTCTAGCGTCTGAAGGCAAGTCAGCCGTCCATATTCAGTGGCATTTGAAATTCTTTATTATTATTAGTGGTGTAAAAGTGGAGATGCCTCAAGCTAATCAAATCGCGCATCCCCTTCGGAAGATCTATAACTTCTGAGCGACTTAGCGTCAATGTCTGCAAATTATAAAGCTTGCAAAGGGAGTCCGGCAAAATACTGATTGAAGACCTCGAAAGGTTAACGTACCGCAAATGTATCAGTTTGCCAATTGAGATTGGCAAATTCTGATTTTTTGCACGAGACAAATTCAAAACGTGCAAATTCTTCAACTTCATTAACATATCGCCAGATAAGTCCCCCTTACTATGAACAATGTATGAAGTGAAGTTGATAGACTCTCCAAAAGTTTTTCTTTGTCTTCTCTGCCACCAGATGAGTCTATTGCAAGGTAACGAATCTGATCACCATTGTCTACTGTACATATATCCCGATCATTAATGACTTTGGAAGACTTTGACAATGACTCTGCAAGGTCGTGGACCAGATCATGCATCTTATAAGATGTTGATGTTTCTGACTCATCAATTATTTCTTCAAACAATGAACTCTGCAATAAAATTCTCAGATAATTAATTCCAATTTCCTCCATCATCATTTGGCTGTTGACGTCTGCTTGGAGGAAACCTTCTGCCATCCAAAGTTCGATTAGCATATCTCCTTTCATCTCAGTATCCTTAGGAAATATAGAACAATATGCAAAACATTTCTTAACGTATGGAGATGGCAAATTATCAAAACTCAACTTAAGTATTTGCATCACACGATCTTCATCTCCACTCAAACTCGAAAGCCTATTCTCCAAAATTGATCGCCACTCCTCTTTTATATGTAAAGATGATAGACCTCCGATTGCACTTGCAGCCAATGGTAGACCATCACATCTTTCGATTACTCTCTCTCTAATTGCTTGTAGTTCATCAGGTACTTCTCCCTCTCGAACTGCTTTTTCTTTTACGATAGACCAACAATGATCAACAGGTAGTGTAGTGGGGCCCACGTGCACGTCGGCCTGGCCCGCAAGCTCGGCTAGAAGGAGGTTCTCGGCCCATCAGGTCGGCTTGGGGGCCCAGAGGGCGCGGTCTCCCCAAGCGGATGGGCCGCGCGGGCTGCCGAGCCCAAGCACGCCTTAACTGAGTTATGGAGCCCTAGGGAGAGTTCTGCTCCCATAAGGACTCCCTGTTCTACTAGGAGACTACTACCTGTGACTCTATAAATACCACGCGTAGGAAAAACAAACGACTATACTCATAGCATAAGCACTACTCTTTTATTTACAAGTCTGTTCTGACTTGACCGTCGGAGTTGCTTCAGGGGACTCAGCCCCGCAGCTCATTTCCGTGCAGGTCGAACGCTTGACCAGCTCGATCCCCGATCACGAGGCCAGTTCGGACCTTCACCTCGGCAGTCGCATCAATTGGCGCCGTCTGTGGGAACACGTTACTTTTCTTCATGAATCATGCCGAAAACTAGGTCGCAAAGAAACGCTGTTGGATCCAAGGGGATGGAGCGAGGCGGCCCCCAAAACTCTCATCGGGATCCGACACCTGAAGAAGGAGGGGCGGGGCCCTCACGAATTTCGCCGAACAGCTGGTTCAAACGGTGGCAGCAAACCTGCCCACCTTCGAGGCGATCATGAACTACCTCAAAGAGCAGTCGGGAGGTCAGTCCGACAAGGAGCCTAAGGTCCAAGGAGCCGACCTGTCAGGGTCCCGAACTGGTAGTCCCAATCACGGGGCCAAGCGGGCGCATCGGGAACTCACGCGTGAGCAGGTCGAGGTCGTAGAGCCATCTCACAAGAACTCCCGAACTGAACATCCGGAGCCCGTCCGGAGGCTCTCCCCCGGAGGGAGCGACAACAGGTACGGGACGAGCTGGACCTAATGCTCGACCCGGAGGCGGACAGGTACATTGCTTCCCCCTTTGCGCTTGACATCGAGGAATACCAACTGCCCGCGAAGTTCAAAATTCCAACGATGAAATCTTACGACGCCACTATGGATCCGGAAGACCACCTGTTCGTGTTCATGACGTAGATGCGCTTACAAACGGCCGCGGATGCGGTCAGGTGCAAGACCTTCCCGATGTTCCTAGAAGGAAGGGCTCGGCAGTGGTTCCAGGGACTTCCCCCCAGATCGATCAGTTCTTTCACCCAGCTCGCGCGACTGTTCTCAGCACAGTTCGTTTCCTCACGAGCCTTCTCTAAAAGCACCGCTCACCTTCTGACCATCCAACAAAGGGTCGAGGAATCACTGCGTGAGTACATGGTGCGGTTCAATAACGAATCCCTCCAGGTCCGCGACCGAGACGACAAGGTGGTCATGGCTGCCTTCATTAACGGGCTACGGAAGCAGAAGTTATACACCGAGCTCGTGGAGAGACCGCCCAAGTCAGTTCGGGAGATGCTGGATCGAGCTCATGAGAAGGCCAATGCTGAGGAGGCCAATCGCTTGAAGAGCGCTCAGGAGAGGCAGAGGGATGACAAGCGCCGAAGGATAACCGACCAAGGGGACGTGCGACGTGACCAAGGGCGGAAGAATACCTATGACCACCCGCCTAGAAGCCGGCCCTTAGGGGGGGACAAGCCTTGGACTTCCCTCACGGCCCCCCGAGCTCGGGTCCTTGCGGTGATGGAGCAGGAAGGGCTTTCCCGACCTCCCCGACCCTTGGCCGGGGATAGAGGCAGACGAGATCAGGACCTGTACTGTGCATATCACAGGGATGTGGGGCACGACACTGAGGACTGTCGTCACCTAAAGAAGGAGATCGAAAAGCTGATACGAAGAGGTCATCTCGGGCAGTTCGTCCGTGACGGCGAGCAGATCAGAAGCCAGGGGGATTCAAGCGAGATCGGACGACCAGCTCGCACGACCGACCTCGAGGTCCCCGTGATCGGACTCCGGAGCAGGGGGTTCAGAACCTAGCCGGGGTAATCAACACCATTGCAGGGGACCTGCGGGGGGAGATAGCCATACGGCTCGGCGGAACAACCGGCCTCCCCCAGCGGGGAGAGCTCGAACAAACGTTTAAAGATGTACGAGGAGATCATCTATGGGCCAGAGGACGCGGTACCTTTAGCCTCCAACAACCATGAGGCGATTGTGATAGAAGTCATCACGTGCAACTACAAAGTAAAGAAGGTATACATCGACAATGGGAGCGCCATCGATGTGTTGTATTACAAAACTTTCAAAGAGCTGCAGTTGGAGGATAAACAGCTCATTCCAGTTCGTACTCCTCTGATAGGATTTGCAGGTCCGCCCGTAAGACCAGAGGGAATGATAACTCTCAGGGTCACTGTGGGGGAATCGCCGAAGTGCCGAACTATTCCGGTGAATTTTGCAGTGGTAAAGGAGCCGTCCTCCTACAACATGATACTAGGGCGTCCAACATTAAACGCACTCTGAGCTGTCTGCTCGACCTTGCACCTCAGCATGAAGTTTCCAACGCCTGAGGGGTGGCCGAGGTGCTAGGAGACCCGGAGTAGCACGAGCCTGCTATATCGCAACCCTCAAGGGTAAGGAGAAGCTGGTGCGCAGACAGTCCTTCTGGAGCCCTGGGAGCCTACTGAGAAGGAGGAGAGGTTGGAGACGGACGAGAATCTGGTTGAATTGCCTATCTGCACCGAGCGACCCGATCGTGTGGTTAGGGCGGGATCTGGACTAAACGAACTGACGCGGAGAGCCCTGGAGTCTCTCCTGGAGGAGTATGCCGAGATCTTTGCTTGGAGTGCTGATGACATGCCGGAGTTCCTCCTGAACTGGCAGTTCACAAGTTGCATGTGGATCCAAGCATCGGCCAGTGAAGCAGAAGAAGAGAAACTTTGCACCTGAACGCAACGAGGTTGTCAAAGAAGAGGTAGGCAAGCTGTTGGAGGCCAGAATGTGAAAGAGATCTACTATCCGACCTGGCTGGCCAACCCGGTGCTGGTCAAAAAGGAGGACAAGGCTTGGCGAATGTACGTGGACTCACCGACCTGAATAAAGCTTGTCCGAAGGATTGTTATCCCCTCCCTCGCATCGACCAGCTGGTAGACTCGACTGCTGGATGCGAGATCTTCTGTTTTCTGGATGCCTTCAAAGGGTATCATCAGATAGCCCTGGATGAGAAGGATCAGGAGAAGACTGCCTTCATCACCGAGTACGGCACGTACTGTTATACTACCATGCCCTTTGGGTTAAAGAATGCTGGCGCGACCTATCAGCGGCTGGTCAACAAGATGTTCAGAGGCCAGATCGGCCGAAACATGGAGGTATATGTGGATGACATGCTGGTGAAGAGCCGGACTCAGGAGCAGTTGATCAGCGACCTCCGGAGATCTTTGGCGTCCTAAGGAGCTCGCGGATGCGGCTAAACCCCAAGAAGTGCACTTTCGGGGTCAGTCGGGCAAGTTCCTTGGGTATATGATATCTAAGGGCGGAGTAAGAGCTAATCCCGACAAGTAAAGGCTATCATGGATATGGCCCTCCCCGAAGCATAAAAGAGGTCCAACGGCTGGCGGGCAGGATGGCGGCCCTAAACAGGTTTTTGTCCAAATCTGCCAGTTCGGGCGTTCCCCTTTCTTCAAAGCTTTGCGAAGAGGGCCTCAGTTTGAATGGACCCCGAGTGTCAGCAAGCGTTTGACGAACTAAAAGCCCACATCGCTCAGTTGCCATCCTTGACCTCTCCCGCGCAAGGAGAAACCTTATTCATCTATCTGGCAGTAGAGGAGGAGGCAATCAGTGCGGTTCTAGTTCGGGAAGAGGGCAAAATCCAGAAGCCCGTATACTATGTCAGCCGGGCTCTGCAGGGCGCGGAGCCAAGGTACACCTCGATTGAGCGGTATGTTTTGGCATTAGTTCACGCGGCCCGGAAGCTCAGGTCGTATTTCCAAACTCATCCCGTGATAGTAATGACCGACCAGCCTCTCAAGCAAATTCTTTCGAAACCCGATGCCTCGGGAAGAATGGTGAGGTGGGCTGTGGAGCTGTCCGAGTACGATCTCAGCTACCAACCCCGCACGGCCATTAAAGCCCAAGCATTAGCAGATTTCATAGCCGAAGGAATTTCCTTTGGGCAACAGGAATCGCATGCCGAGCAGTCCAGAGACGCAGCTAAGGCCGAGCAGGCCGGAGAGGCTGCCGAGGTCGCGCAGGCCACCAAGTTCGAGCTGACCCAAGACGCAGCTGAGGCCAGGCAGGCCGGAGAAGCTGCCGAGGTCACCAAGTTCGCTAAGACTTCCAAGGCCGAACATACCATAGACGCAGCTAAGGCCGAGCAGGCTAGTGAACCTGCCGAGGTCATACAGGCCACAATGGAAGCCACGGACGATCTAAACGGAAACGCAGTGGAGGCCGAGCAGGTCAGAAAAGCTGTGAAATACGAACAGGCCACCGGAAAGGTGGGTCAGTCCATTCCAACCTGGACTCTGTTCGTGGACGGCTCGTCAAGCCAGGAAGGATGCGGAGCAGGACTTCTCTTGACCAGCCCCATGGGGGATGAATTAGCCTACGCCCTAAGGTTTGATTTCAGGGCCTCCAACAACGAGTCCGAATACGAGGCCCTGGTCGCGGGGATGGTGATAGCTCGAAAGTTGGGGCCGAATCAATAGAAGTCTACAGCGATTCGCAGCTGATAGTAAACCAGGTAGGGGGAAGTTTTGAAGTCAAAGAGGAGCCACTAAAAAGGTACGTCGCAAAAGTGCATGAGCTGAGAGCTCAGTTCAAACTGTTCACGCTCAAGCAGGTCCCGCGAAGCCAGAATAAAAGGGCAGACGCACTGTCCAAGCTCGCCTCCACCTCAGTCGGCACATTGAACAAAAAGGTCTTGGTGGAGGTCGTCAGGAGCCGGGCATATGATCAGGTAGATGCGGCCGTTATTCAAGTAGTGAGCTCCTGGATGGATCCCCTCGTGCGATACCTGGCCAATGGAGAGCTCCCCTCAAGTCGGGTGGAAGCACGACGAATCCTTCTCAAGTCGCGGGGGTACGAGCTCTCGAATGGGGTACTCTACAAAAAATCATACCTGCGTCCATGGTTGAGGTGCGTAACTCCGGAGGAGGGAGACTATATCCTGCGTGAGCTGCATGAGGGTATCTGCGGGAACCATGTCGGACCAAGAGTTTTGGCCAAAAAAGGAATGTTGTCTGGATATTACTGGCCCACTATCTTCTTGGACTCAGCCGAACTGGTGGCTCGGTGCAAACCCTGCCAGCTGCACGCTCCGATCCACCACGCCCCAACTCAGGAGATGGTGCCTCTTCAGAGCCCTTGGCCTTTCTTCCAATGGGGGATAGACTTGCTGGGTCCGTTCCCTCGAGCTCCTGGGGGCTATGAGCACGTGGTGGTGGCTGTGGACTACTTCACCAAGTGGGTGGAGGTCGAGCCCCTTACCACCATTAGCAGCAGGTCGGTCCAAAAATTTCTCTGGAGAAATATCGTTTGTCGATTTGGTATACCTCGGGTCCTGGTCTCAGACAATGGGCGACAGTTCGCGGACAGTTCTCTCCAAGGCTGGTGCACGGAGCTCGGATCCGACAGCACTTCACCTCGGTAGGTCATCCCCAAGCCAACGGGCAGGTCGAAAACGTTAACAGGACTGTCCTGCACGGTTTGAAGACGCTCCGCTCGAGCGGGGTGGCTGGACGAGCTGCCCACCATCCTATGGGCCTACCGAACCACTCCCCGAACTGCCACTCAGGAGACTCCTTTCGTTCTGACCTATGGAACGGAGGCTGTGATTCCTGCGGAGATAGGTGTTCCTTCGAACAAGGTTCAGAACTTCATAGCTCAGGACAATGAAGATGAGCTGCGTCTTAACCTGGATTTGCTGGAAGGAAGGAGAGAAGAAGCGGCTATACGCATGGCTAAGTATAAAGGACAGGTTGCGCGACATTACAATGCTAGGGTGAGGCCTCTATCCTTCAAACCAGGGGACCTGGTCCTAAGGAAGAACAGCGTAAGTCGGTTTCGGGCACGGGCAAGCTGAATCCAAATTGGGAAGGACCCTATGTGGTGAAAGAAGCGGACCGAGCTGGATACTGCAAGTTAACTCACCTAAGCGGAGAAGAGGTCCCGCGTACTTGGCACAATTCCAACTTAAGGATTTTCCGTTAAGCTCGCGCATGACAGTTCGTTTCAAGGTCAAGACTTTGATTAATGTTAATGTATTTGGCTAGTAAGTTATTTCAGCTTATAGAATAGCTCGTTTAGGTTGGCATAGGGCCGAACTGGTATGTCTTATTATGAGAAACCTTGCGAATGCGATTAAGTATAAAGCAAGAGGAAGGCTTTTCATTTCATTCAATAAAAACTGTACAAGGAAGAACAGAGCTCATACAAAACGAATTGCCTACTGACAGTTCGGTCCTATCCTAAGTCTTACTCTAGTTCTCCCCTCCTCCTCCTCCTGCTCGGATTCGGGGTGGTCACTGGCAGCAGGGGGTCAGCGACCAGGTCGGTCAATTTCCGTCCATGAGTGTAACCCTACAAGCGGTCGATCTGCTCCACGGCCCGGGGATTGTAGCTGGGAAAGTTTCCCAGGTCGAACCCGGGCAGACCTAGCCCTTGCACTTCCTTCAGGGCTTGGGAATACCCATGTTGCAGAACGGGGGTGTTTAAGATAGCCAGATCGCCCCTGAAGTCATCCGACCTGAGGAAGGCCGCACGCCCTCCTGGCCTCCCTCAGCCCTGGCCGCTTCCGCCTGAGCCGCCAGCTCGGCTGCCTTCTGCTGCTCCTCTTTCAGCTGGGAGGTCAGCTCGAATTTTTCTTCAGCTCTAGCTCGAAGTTTGTATGGACCTGCGCGAGTTGCTTCTTCAGGCCTTCAGCTTCGGCCACAGCTGCTTCGTTCTGGCTGAGCAGTTTCTCGTTGGCCGCCTTTGTTTCATTCAACAGGGGGAGCAGGCTTTCGTAGCGCTTGGCCAGTTCGGACCCAACCAGGTTCACCTGAGCCGTTCCCGTGTAGAAGTAGTTGAGGAGGTCGGATGACTCCATGGCCTTGGTCAAATTGTAGTCCCGTGGGAGGATGGCCCCGTGAGCGAGCTCCCGCGCCACCTCGGGGAACTGAGCCCGGTCATTTATGGATAGCTTCCACTGGGGCAGAAGTGCATGGGGTGCTGGTGCGTCGTCAACCGAGTCTGGGGGTCGAAGAGCAGGGAGCTCTGGCGTTGCCACAGGTTAGGGGGAGCTTCAGCTCTGGCTTGCTCTTCGGCGGTGGTCACGCCGTAGTGGCCGCCTTGGGCAGGCTCAGGTGTTGACCTCTCCTCCCTAGCTGGGGACGAGGGCGTCTCCACCCTGGCTCTCTTAGCAGTTGTCTTCTTTTTCTTTTTCTTTCCAGCCTCAACCGCCTTGGAGGATTGGGCGGGAGCTGGCTGAGGTATGGGAGCTGGCACCGAGCTGGCTGGAATGGCCGAGGGACTCTGAGTGGTAGCGCCTGGGTTGGTAGTACCACCGATGGACAGAAGTGAGGAAAACCGCTTCACTGCACAAACAGAAGTCCAGGAGGTCAGCAGATGCCCATATATACAAAAAAAAAAAAAAAGAGGAAAAGACGGAAGGGCAGGATAGTTACAGGTGTCCAGCTCGCCCGGGGTGAGTGGCCTGTCCTCTGGCGAGGGATCCGAGGAGCTAGCTCGGATCAACCCCGCCGCCCAAAGCTGGTCATTGCTGAACTCTTTCACGTCCAGCTTCACGTCCGAGCTGAGTAGGCGGCTAAGCTCGGACACGGGGAGCAGGGATGGAAGGGGATCTGAGACTTGAGTCTCTGCTCTCCAAGTAAGGGGAGGAAAACCTAGGTTCTTCACGAAAAAGAACTGAGGCTTCCAGTCCTTGATAGAGGAAGGTGCCCCCGTGAACAGCTCGCGGGTGGGGGTTTTTGCTCCACTTCGGCGGGCAAAGTAGAACCACCCAGGCACCTTCCCGCTGACCTTCATCTGGAAGAAGGCACGGAACAGGTCGAGAGAAAAGGAAATTTCGAGTGTTCGGCAAAGGATGAAGAAGCCTATGATAGAGCGAACAGCGTTGGGGATGACCTGGGTTATGCGAATACCCCAGAAGGTAAGAATGAAGAAGAGGAAGTTGGGGATGGGCAGACGGAGGCCAGCCATTAGCTGGTCCCTGTAGATCGCCACGAAACCAGTGGGAGGTCGGCTGGCAACCTCCCTGGATGCGCGGCCCTGGGCTCGAATTGGGCTGGGATTTCATATTTTTCCGCCAGCTCGTCAACATCTTTTTGCTCCAAGGCTGGGGGAATAGTGTCGACCTCTCCGAAGTCGCCACTTGGCCCCTCGAGGTCCCCGCTGCCATCTGACCCGGAGCTGCCTGATCAGCTGCTCCGACTAGAGGCTGGGCAGGTCGCTCGGCTGGGCTCATTACTCTAACAGGGGACAGGTTAGGAGAGGCTATGGTCTCGGTCCAAAGGAAATAGAAGGAGAAGAGCTAAAGGAATCTAAAGAGCTGCTATCTAAGAGTATGGGGCTAGCTGCTCTATGCCTATGGGTTGAACTGGTGACGTCAGAACTATCAGAACTGTAAGAAGACATAAAAAGGAAAGGGGGACTTACTGGTGAAAGGATGACCTAAGGAATGCGCGGGCTGATTCTGGGCTCCTAGGGCGGGGCGACCCGACGTGTTCTCGAAGAGAAAAGGATGAAGCAGCGAGCTAGGGATTGAAGGAGCGAACTGAGGAAATGAGAGAAGGAGAGTGAAAATGACGCTTGGAGGATCCTATTTATAGGCAACGACAGCGCGGGAAAGCGAAGAGGCGCGCATTTATTCGAACAGTTTATGGGAACCGTTCCTAACCGCCCTAATTAGCCGAGGCGACGGTTGAGGTGACAGGCGCGAACTGACGCGACGGTTGCTTGCGCCACTCTCTGACGGGGGGTCCCACAATGAGCTGACACGACCTCCTGGAATCCGGCCTAGATTCACGCGCACGATCGATGACTCTAGACCTGAGGGGGGCTAGTGTAGTGGGGCCCACGTGCACGTCGGCCTGGCCCGCAAGCTCGGCTAGAAGGAGGTTCTCGGCCATCAGGTCGGCTTGGGGCCCAGAGGGCGCGGTCTCCCCAAGCGGATGGGCCGCGCGGGCTGCCGAGCCCAAGCACGCATTAACTGAGTTATGGAGCCCTAGGGAGAGTTCTGCTCCCATAAGGACTCCCTGTTCTACTAGGAGACTACTACCTGTGACTCTATAAATACCACGCGTAGGAAAAACACAAGGTACGCTACTCATAGCATAAGCACTACTCTTTTATTTACAAGTCTGTTCTTCAGGGGACTCAGCCCCGCAGCTCATTTCCGTGCAGGTCGGACGCTTGACCAGCTCGATCCCCGATCACGAGGCCAGTTCGGACCTTCACCTCGCAGTCGCATCAGGTAGTTTTCCTAATCGATAGGCTTCATTTTCCATCATGAAAACTCTAGACACACACTGCGCCACTGGACCTGGACGAGTAGTGACCAAACACCAGCTTCCATTGGTTGGATTGAGCCCCTTCAAGGTGTTGAAAAAGTCCTCCCACAATGCTTGATCATCATTCCACACATCATCAAGGACTAGGAGATATCTTTTTCCCCCTGGGTTGTTCCCAATTTTTTCAACGATGACGTCCCTAAGATCCACTTCAACCTTTTCTTTCGTCAAATGCACTAATATGAGTTTGAAAAGCTCCTCTATTGGAACTTTTTTCGATACACAAACCCAAATCTTTATGTCAAAGTGTTCATCAATTTGCTTGTTGTTGTATATGGATTTAGCCAAAGTTGTTTTGCCTAAACCTCCCATACCAACTTTGGGAAGAACAGAAACAACCTTCTCAGACAGGCTCAACAAAATCTTCACTATCTCTGATTTCATCATCGGCTCTTCCAACCATTGGAGCAACAACAGAGTCGGTCTGCCGACCTCTCGTGCCTCCAACAGCAGGAGCAGCAGGGAGGGCAGCAGGCACGACTGACTTACTTCCAGTCCAAAATCACGGGCTTGTTGATTTATCTCCTTCAACTTCAGTTTGACGTCCCTGACCTTAGAAGCCATTCTCCAACGAAAAGCAATATTAATGTTAGAGAAGGAGAAGAAGCAGCATACCTTGAGCTTGTGTCGGTTTCGGGACTCCACCTGGTGACGAAGAGATTCATAGTGGAGCTCATCCAACACATTCTGAGCATCATAAGCCACCTCCTCGAGACACTTCAACCATTCATGCACTACCCGGTCCTGGTTTTGTTGCTTTTCCTCAGCATCAGACAAGCGAGCATTGATAAACCGAAGAGATCGAGTCATGCTGGCCAGATCCTTCTTGAACCCAACTAACATACCAATCCTATCAGAGGCAAGAGACAGTGCCGTTTCCAATGTGACCTGAATTGTGGCACCGATAACAGGGTCGGCCATTGGTGTTGCCTTGGATTCAGTGTTGAGAACAAGATGTTTTTTTTTTTTTATGGAAAGTTTTTTGCAGCGAGGAACTGGTAATCTTACCTAGGCTACTATAATTGGTTATAAAGAACGGAGCGTTAATAATTATTGCGCGTAGACCTGGAGTTCTTCTCTGGCAAATTTGTAAGCTTTTGCATGGGCGTGTTTACAGAGTAACTTTCTCAATTATTGTAGTTGTTGGGGCACATGTTTTCTGATTAAATGCCGGGGCCTTCAGAATTTTTGGTTGTGGACCATATTTGTTTTTGTCCACGATCAAATCGTAAAAAGGAGAGTGAGATTCTGCTTTGGTTACATGCATGTCATTGTTATTTGTTAATCCTTGGAAAATGAATTTATGACATAATTTGGTCTGAATGTTGTTCGTTTTGGGAAGCAATAATAATAATGTTCTCTGTTTTCGCACTAGCTATGATGCATTTTGCTTCTTGGCTTAGCAATCAGGCTTGAGATTTTAAATTACCTTTTGTACTTCAGCGTTTCAAGTATATAACATGATCGGTATGAAACCCTAGCCTTCTACTCCTCTCTTTAAAATCTGATAGTCTTTAATTCAAATCGATATTAATCCTTTTTGTTATATTATTTCTTATTACTTTCCTTTTCTAGTTGATTTTGGATCCTTTTTTTTATTACTTTTCTAAATTTTTCTCCTCAAACTGGATGTCTCTCAATCTCTCTTGTGGGAATTCAACATACTTTAAGATGAATTTCATTTTGTCATTATCAAGTTTGCACTTGAAGAATTAAAGTTCATATGGGGCTAAGTCATACTAATTTCATATCTTTGACATTTATTTATCACAAACCTCAATTCTTCTTTCCTCTAGTGTTTCTTTTCTATATCAACTCTCCTTAATCCCATTATTGTCTCACAGCATAATCCAGAAAGTGTCAGTATATAAGAATTCTTTTGAAGTAATTATTACTAATATATAGTTTCCGTTTCTTGTGGAATGTTCTGAATCTTTCCTAAAGCACCATTTTCCAATTTGAGTTCCAGAATTGTTGCAAACTTTTTTGATTTGCGCATCACTTTGCATGTAAGAATTCAAAATTTCACCACCAATTAAATATATAGTTTTCCTCGCAACTTGTCCCGTTTGGATTGCTATTTTTAGGAATTTTTAGCTGTTGCTTGGCATTTTCAATTCACCTTTCTTTGTAGTGTAGTAGTTGCCGGGATTCTTCAGCTGCCGTTGATCCACATGCCACATGCTTGGGGGGCCATCGGATGTGGAAATTTCCACCCAAGAAGGAAAAGAAACCGTGTTGAATGATGAAGAAAAGAAAATGGCAATCATCATTGACACTCTAATAATTGCCATGGAGAAGTTTGCCTGGCAATTTCACTTGGCTTTATTGATCAATGCTTAGCTGGGTATTTCATCTTTTTCTGATTGAAAGCTGGCTGGGGCCTTTGGCTGTGGAAAATATCTCAATAGTTTGTCGGAGCTGTGGTTTGACCCAAGACTGACCCCCGCCACAAAAAAAAAAAAAAAAAAAAAGCCTATGTTCAACGATCAAAATGTAAAGGAGAAAGAGGAAATGACAACCATAGCTGGTGACTTTGCAACATTAATTGCCTCAGTCATTAATCCTTGGAAATAGACTAAAAACGTTATTTTGTGGGGGAAAAACTTAAAAAATAATCCGTGGTTCACTTGTCAAAAACATGAAGTGGAGTTAGCAATCAGGTTTGGCATGTAGCGACATAATTGGCCAATGGTTGGGTGCTTTCTTAGCTTTTTACACTTGTGAAATTGCCAAAACAGTCGCTCGTAATTCCACAAGCTTTCTAGCACTTTAAAAATTCAAACATTTTGTTTCAAAATGTCTTGTTTATGTACAGCATACAAAATTTAAGTGGTGAAAGTTTAAGGCGTTTCTTTATTACTATATTTTTTTGAAGTACAATATACAATCAACTGGAGTTAGAAGTAAAATAGACCTTTAGCTCACACTATGATTATAAACTTTGACTGAATTGGATGTTTTGGGAAGAGGGAATGAGCGTGTTCTTGCAGATTTCAATTTTTACAATTGAATTATTTGCCTATGATATGATCACAAGTTTAACTTAAATGGAGTTGCGATAATAGAAGATTCTCGAAAGAAGACTTCAAAAGGTGGAAATTGAAAATGAGTGGAAATTAATGAGGAATTAACCAATTATTTGGATTCCCATTTTTGTATCCGACTCTTTTATAATTAGTTTTTCTTATAGTTTTCTCGCTCCTAACAAATTTATCTAAAAAGATAAATTTGAATTATTTGTTCTTATGGTTCCTCTCTCTTCTAACAATATGATAAATTTGTATAAATTTGTTTATCCATATGGATTAACTTAGTGTTAAAAAATTTTTAACTGTTAGCTGATAGATTTATCAATATTGCTGGAAATTAAATATTTTTTGATGTAGAAAACAAATCGCAAAATCTTTTGTACTTAGTTAGGTAGGAAAATGTAACTAGGTTTATGGTTATTATAAAAATTGTAATTATCTAAAAAATATCCGTACACAAAAAGGTAGAATATCTATTGATTTTTTAATATGTGTTATCATATTTGATGAATATTATTATATTATAGTAAAACTATGTAAAGAAGTTTTTAAAAATTAGTATGATAGTTAAGTAAATTATTCCATTAATTTTCTAAAATTAATATGAATGAACTTGTAAGATCATCATTAATTTTTTATTTAAATTATTCATGCTTGCACGAATTCAGAAGAAAATAAAAAAATAAACCATGCCAAGGCAAATGCAAGATGCTCGTTCAAATTAATGTTGTACACGTATAGGAGTCACAAAACGGTTTGGTGCACTAGCAGACGAAAGGGGACATCTAAAGTATTAGGACAAGTTTTACATTAAAGTGGGAGATTTGTAACGCAATTGAGCGAAAACAAATGAGGTTGAGGAAAACTTTATATCAGTTGCAATACATTCATAAAAGCTATGGCACATTCGTTAAAATAAGAAATATTTATTAATTTGGTGCAGTGTAATAGCAAACCAAGGAAAAAAAATATGAATGATCCGTGAGAGGGAAAGATGTCATTTGACTTAAAATAAAATGTGATTGGATAGAGGTTTAGATGAACAAAAAAATTAGATTAATATTGTAACACTTTTTGTGGCTTGATATAATATATAGAGATAGAATGATGACTGGTAAAATAAAAAAAATGATTCAGGTAAATATAAATAATTTTTTCATATATTTGCGTAATGATGATAATGACAGGGTGAAAACAATGCATGCAAAGACGAAGGTTGATAATAATAATGATAACTATGGTGAGATAGATAGCAATTGCAAGTTGCACACCATGCAATTAGTGTTTTAGATTAGGTAAATTTGCACACCACTATTGCAAATAATTCAGTCAATAAGAGATAGGAAAACATAATGCACGAAATCCAACTTTTAGAATTGTGTTATAGTTTAATGATGACTATGTGGTGTTTTTGTAGACAAATAAACAGAAAAACAAATAAATATACAAATTTGATAAAGAAAGGTGCACTTCTACAGGACCGAAACTAATTGCTCTTAGGTCCCATTTTGCTATTTTTAAAGTTTTTATAGAGACTTTTTCGTTTGGATTGCTATTTTTTGAAATTTTATAGAAAAATGTATTGTAGAAATTTAATATCTATGAGATAAAAAAGTAATTAAAATATGTGTTTATGAAAAACATTAAAAATATTCCGTAGTAGACTGCAATCCTAGCATGGCTTGCGATTTGATCAATATGAAATAAAAAAGTAATTAAGAAATGTGTTCACAAAAAATGTAAAAAATTTGCCTTAGAAAACTACAATCCAAACAAGTAGTCTTCTCCCGTTCAAGAAACGCAATGAAAATATTTGTTGAATAATTAAACTTATCCTTTCATAAGCCACTTATACCGGGGAGGTATGGAGGGAGGCAATGAATAAAAAGTCTTGGGTTCGATTCCTCCCACTTACACAAAGAAAAAAGTATAAAAAAATAAAAAAAAAACCACTTATACTAGCTAAGAGTATTTCTGGTCACGTCTCGTGTTATATATTATTAATCCTATCATATTATCCAAAAGCATTTGTTGGAAATTGCATTCTTAATTTAGATTAAAAAAATAATAAATATTTGTTGGAAACGAAGGAAAAGTGACGCAACCTTTCCAATTTGTAAATTCAATTAGGCTTACATGTAAAACTATTAAAGTGTATCAGCATGAGAGAATTTAGTGCTTCATCTGACGCTTGTAAAATAGACAAATGAAGTTTTGAAATTCTAGCACTTTTGGACCAATACCTTTTTTTTAAGGCAAAACCAATACCTTAGGTAACCACAAGATCTCATCTTGATTTGCTGTTTTTCTTATTAAATGTTGAATCTAGAAAATCATGTCTCAGAAATAACTACATATACCTGGAAAAAAAATTTAGTGCTAGGATAAATATACTGCTAAGTTATGGAAATTCTCTTTTCCATTTTAGCAATTTGATTCTTTGGACGCATGATTCTATCTGTTATATTTGGCTTCAAAATATGTTACTTTAGAATGGTGTTTGGATGTGGATACATAATCTGTAATTATTCTCACCTATATTTATTTTCTAAAGGTCTGTCCACTTTATTCGGATTTCTTACCTATTTCACTCACAAATGCAGAGGTAGCCATTGGCGTTTTACGGTGAAGAGAAGCCAAAAAAACTACCAACCCCTTTATTGCTCTCTTTCATCTTATTTCTCCATCTTTCATCCTTCTTTTTCGTTGTGACCTACAATTAGGACTGCAAACCACTCAAGCGCTAGCGAGCCAACTCAGTCAAAAGTTAAATCGAGTTCAGGTAATACTGAATCCGAGTTGAGCTCAATCCAACCAAGTTGAGCTACCGAATTCAAGTCGAACATAAAGAAATTCAATTCATTAATTGACGAGTTAGCTCGAATATATATATATTTATATATATTATTTTAATATTGATATTACACATATATCTGCCTAATATTTTTATTATTTACTAAGCAAAAAATGAATATTTTATTCTTTTTTAAAAGAAACAAAATAATTATTTTTTATTTTTTAAGGTCGAGCAAGCTCAAGCTTGAGTATTCGAGTTTGATTAGACTCGAATTTGAAGTCGAGAATGAACTCGAATTTTACATTGAAACTCGTCGAGTGGTTCGAATTTGGTAAAACTGAGTCGAGCTTGACTTTATTAAGCTAAAAGTGGACTCAACTAGTTCATTTGTAACCCTACTTACAATGCTTTGATCACCATTTTAGAAAGTTTAGTTGTGGGCCTTGGTGAACTGTTAACGGGGATGCAATTTGTTGACATGCAATTGGCTAATCAT